GTTTGAAAAAGTAACCAAATTCCAACAAATTTGGTGAAGTCATGATAGTTCTCCTATTCATGTTTCACATTGATTGACATAAATTATCCAACACGTCCACCGACTGGATTAATTGCTCGCATGCTTGCTTGGTAATTTGGTTATGTGTAGGAGTACTAATATACCGGTAGTGCCTCACCTAATGGGAAAAGGATCTTGGAATTTCTTGAGGTGTTGACTTTAGCTACTATTTGGGTGCTTGCTTTCATGATTGGTGTTGTTGAATCTGTATTACATTAATGCTTTGCTTCGGCTTTTTTGCATCTGCTTTTACCTTTTCCCACTTGGGTTGAGGTACTAGATTTCATTGATGTCTGGCCCATGATGAATGATGTGGGAAAAGATGATGCCCGTTCCTTTGTTTGATTGAACATACTCATTCTTTGTTTTGTTGAAGTTTGCCGCCCCTTTTTTTTTTTTTTGGGTAAAACGTACCTGCTAGCTTCTTGTATTAAGATTGGATCAGCGTATCTCCTGTCTTTTGAATAATCTTCTCTACATTCTGGCTCAATTAAGCGACTTAATTCCTTAATATGCTTCAAGCATCTGCTTATTTCTTTGTAACCCAGTGAAGTGTACGATGATTTAGTTCACAGGACGAAAATTTAATAATTTCTAGTTTTCTACTGAAATTCCCATTTTTGTAAAATTGCACAAAATTACCTTGATGGTTGAAATACTAAATGACCTGGGTCCACAGGAATGTTGGTTCTTTTTGACCCAGTTGTGTCACTCCTTGGAATAGATTAGAGTAGAAGTAAGAGTAAGAATAGAAGGTGACAATTGATAAAAAAAAAAAAAAGACGACTAGTCTTCATTTAAAAATGAAAAAAAAATGAAAGGAAAGAAACTTGTTCATGCTAGAGCTGCTGTCGAGTCGAGTCGAGCTCGAGTAGTGTACTACTCGAGTTCGACTCGAGGCAAAATAACTAAGCTCGAACTCGTCAAGCCTAATCAAGCTCAAGTAATAAAAATTAATATTTTATATATAATTTTAAATAAATGATATTATTGACATTTCACAATAATAATAATTAAAATATATATTATAAAAAGCTCGATAGAGCTCGTTGAACTTTCGAGTATCATATTTTCAAACTCGAGATCGACTCGATAGCTCTAACGAGCGGCTCGAACTCGAGATCGAGTTTGGTCAATCGAGCTCGAGCTCGAGCTGCTGATCAAGTAGCTCGCGAGCTCGAGCCGAGCTACTTGGTTCAGCTCCACCCCTAGTTCATGCTTCGTTTAAAAATGAAAAAAAAAAAATGAAGGGAAAGAAACTTGCCCGTCTCGGATCCTTTGAATGTGGGAAGCTGACGTCTAGTATTTCGCATAAAATAACATTTAAATAGCCGTGATTTTTACTTGAACAGCATGTTGTAGTGAGCCATTCTATGACCAGAAAAGGTAAGGGCTGTTTCCAATTGCTTTACGTATCACGAAAACTTGTTTAATCAAACCTTTACTTTTAGCTTCTTTACTTATCAGAGAAATTTATAAATCCGCGCACGCACATATACCCATCTACGCCACTTAAATCAAATGTTTGTAGATTTCTGGATTCTTCTAAACTATATGATTCTCGATAACAATTTGGTTAAAAAAAAAAATGGGCCACGGCCCGTCGAATAATAATAATAAAAAAAGGCAATAGCGACCTAATGGACAAAATTTTAATTTGTATGGTAGAGGCCCAATTACGAAGATTGCTGATGCAGGCTACTTACTAAGGTGCCCAAAAAGAATTCTAGAACACCGATAGCACGTTCAATTCAAGACCGGCCCGGGAAGAATGTGATGATAAATTTTACGTCGCTGCAGTTTGGCTTGACCGCTAAGGCTGAGAAACTTGAGAATTGAATATTTCTGCAGGCGCCAAACTTGGCTGATATTTATGATTGCACGGTCAAGATGAGAGCTTCAACTTGATGTGCTCTCCCAACTGATTGAGTCAGGATAGCTTTTTTGGGCAAAGATAGTAAGAAGTTCTTTTGACTTTTTTTGTGTTTTTTTGTTTTTTTGGGGGCTGCTGAAGACAATAGGCACACTTGAAGAGTAATAGAAGATTGGAGGTCTATTCTGACCAAAAGAGAAGAAGACGGGACATGGGAAACTGCAGAAATTGGCAATGAACAAAGCCAGGATTTTGCAGTCGTTTCGCTTAGTAAAGGAACTGAGAGTTTGGGTGCGTATAGATTTGATTCTCGAATATTCAACAATACGGCAGGTTGCGGAAGAAGATTAACAAATGTGCTTTTTTTTTTTTGACCGGATATTCTGATGCCGTAATATTCAGACTAAGGAAAAACATGCTTGCATCATCTTTGAGGTGTTTCCATTGCTTTGGATGCGAACGAATAGGGAGGGAAGACCCGAAGAATTGAGGTGTTTTCCTGTCCACTGTTAAAAAATACATTAGGGTTCCGTTGGGTTGGATGCAAATCTTTTGTACACAGGGTAATGTGCAAATAGTTTTAAAAAAATTTTATTTTTTTTTGGTAAATTGAAGAATCAAGAATGTTGATTCCATAAGCACAGTCGATTTCTAATTCAAAGCTATCATGTGAAGTTACAAGACCACTACATGGAAACATTCCTGCAGACATATTTCTTAAGTTCGACTTTGACCTTTGAAAGCATCGCAATTTCTTTACTGTTACTTCTCCAATTTGAACCCAAAATTCGAGTTCCATTGTTACATCTGGCCACCCAATGCTTCGAATAAATGTTAATATTAATTTATTAACATCAAAGTCAAATTTGACCCAAAAAAAAAAAAGAAAAGAAAGTATCGAAGTCAGGTCAAAATAGAAACTTAGAAATAATGCTGTACATTGCATAACAACTAAGTGATATGAAATCACTTTGACGAAGCAGTGGTAAATAATTCAGGCGCAGTGAATTCTAAAATAATATGAGGATCAAAACAACCCAAAAGATTTAAGAAAGAAAGAAAGAAAGAAATGGGAGGGACCAAAAGATTTGCCTGCATTTCCATAATCATGACGAGGAAAATGGAAGGGGAAAAAAAATGCTTGTGTAACGAGTAAGAGAAGAGCAAAAAAAACATATTCTGATACAAATACGTATAAGTACGAGCGTGCACACAAAAGTGGTTGGGTCTATTTAACTATCCACACAATCAATAATCTTTGGTAAGCCTTAAACGAAACTTCAATCATTCAATCGTCATCGCCCTTTGCTAAAAAAAAAAAAAAAAAAAAAAAAGAGAGAGAGAGAGAGAAAAGGACCACACTGGATCAACGTAGTAGTATTATGTAAACTATTATTGGTATAGAGTACTGTTGTTATAGTACTTGTGTCTAAATGAAATATTAGTGCATGAATCTCGCACTTTCTAAAGACGCAAGGCAAAAGGAAAAGAAACGTAGAAATAATATTGGGAGTGTTTGGATAGTGTATTATTTGAAATATTATTTGGAATAATTACTGTAGCATTTTTTGTGATGTGATGTATGTGAGATAAAAAGGTGGTTGGAAATATAAAAAGGTAGGTTGGAAAATGTGTCTATGATGCAAGCGAAATTTTATTTGGGATAATTGAGGTATCCAAACAATTATTGTCCTTCGAAACATTTTTAAACAAAGATGGGTGAAAATGAAAGAAAACTTTAATTCCGAGACCATTTATTTTATCAACTACCTTGTTGAAAATTGTGGGAACCGATAGGACTGTTTTACCACGGCGCTTTGTCTTAATCAACCTGTATTAGGTGGTAATTAGACTTGAAAGGGTTCTCTCTTCTTTTTTGGGTGTGAAGCAAGCCACGATGAAGTTGGAAAAAAAAAAGGGAAACAAACGAGGAGGGGGGAGAGAGGGGGGGGGGGGGAATGTAGCAGCAGCTTTGATTGATATTGGACCTGGTTTAGCTGGCGGGTCCATTTTAGTGTCGAAAAGCTACCAGCCAAATTACCAATCTATTGCGTGCAACAGAGTTTGAACACTTGAGAAGCTGGGCCCTACCACTAAAAGAGAAATGTCCGTTTCTATAGGGAGAAACTTCCTGAACCAGGTCAAGTGGCACTGGTGGGCCGCGCAATTTGACATCGCGTACCACGATCTGCGTCTGCATCACGTTTTTTTGAAATGAACCTGTCCTAGCCGTACCTGAAGTTTGTTCTTTCTCCTTTATTAAAAGTATTTTTTTTCCAGTTTGACGGCGGAGAAAAATAAAAATTATTTTCTGGTAACTGACCTGCGTGCTTTTGGAGAATTTGGCGCGTATTTAGGAGGAGAAAATGTTTGGCGCCGGTCAATTTTGTTCTTGCTATTAATTATTAGGTCTAAAAAGTCGTAGGTTTCTGTTGGGAAGGCTGGTCTTATCTTCTGAGCTGCAATGCCGGACAAGGGCAGGAGTGCAACCGTTCCTGCGGTTTTGATCATTTTCAATAGGGCGTAATTTTGATTGCACACGACGTAATTTTAATACAAAATTTTGTGGAACCTACATACATGAAAATCGATGCACAACAAGTGATCTAAATTGCACATTTTGTTTTGGTCAAAAAAATCTGGCCGTGAACAGTTCAGGAGCTGTCATTCTGATGACCACTCCTACCCCTCATCCTGCAATGCCTACTTTTATTTGGTCAATCATCTTTCATGAATTGAGTTGAAAATTGGCTCTTCCCTGCATGAATATTTTTTTAAAAAAATTTTCTAACAACTACAGTTGTGGGCAGGAAGGTTAATTGCACTTGGAGCATCCTTCTCTTATAGGCCATTCGAAAACCTTCTCCAAAAAGTGAAACAGTTACTGACTCCTATTTTTAGGAGTTTTTATTAAAAAAAATGCGATATAGTAATTTGATATAACATGAGTTAAAAAAGAGTAAAATTTTTTGTTAAAAAATCATAATCCAAACAAGTAATAATTGTTTTTAGGGTGAAGTAGCTTAGGATTTGATTTGGAAATTGTCTTAGCGTTGATATTTGTCCTTTTTTATTTGCTGCAATTCCAAGATTTAATTGATGTTTGATTTATCAGTAGATGTTACAGCATGCTAGAAAGTGAATTTTCATCTGTGGTGCTACTACATCAGCTGTCATCAGTTTTATTTTTTACTTGTTTTTACTTTTTATGAAAATAATCGACTGTGGAAAACAGAAGGGGGGTAAAAACGAAAAAGAGGAACAGAAGATTAATTTTGACGCGTTGACTACGTTTAAGTTTGTGCAATTCACATTCCCATCCTTCGTTCTCTAGGGCTTCCGAAAAATTGTCCCCGATAAATGGGAATTTGCCAACGACAATTTCAAGCGAGGCCGGAAGGAGCTCCTAACTGATATCCGTCGACGGAAAACCACGACGTCAACACAGTCTACAAACCAAGCTGGGGCCGGCAAGTCCATAACCACTGCCAATCCCACCTCACCAGCGAATTCCGGCGAGGACTTGGGCTCAAGCTCAACCTCATCCCCCGACTCGAAGAGCCCAGGGTCGGTGGACACCCTATCTGCAGAGCAATTTGCGGACTTGTCGGATGAGAATGAAAAGCTGAAGAAAGATAATCAGATGCTGAGTTCAGAGCTTGCACAGACCAAGAAACAATGCGACGACCTCATTGCATTCTTGACCAAGCATGTAAATGTTGCACCTGATCAAATCAACAGCATCATGAACCAGGGAGCAGCGGTGGGTGAGATGAATTTTAATGAGATCAAGTGTGTTGTTGATGATCATGTTGACAACAAAGAAGCCGATGATGATGATGACGAAAATGGAAATGGAGGGAGCTTGAAGTTGTTCGGTGTGACCTTGTTAACAGAGAAGAACAAAAAGAGGGGTCGTGATGACATGGATGTTGGTTATGCTGAGGTTCGTCCTAGGAGAGACGTCAAGACACTCGACTTTTGTGCACCTTGGATGAGAATAGCTTCATGCGCTGGTGAAACCAGCAAGGTTTGTAACTGAAATTAAGGTCGAAGTAATTAAAGCTAGTAGTACTAGAATAACGACCTAGTACGGAGGGCGTAGTTTTTTGGAGCTGGAGCTATTATGCTCAAGAAGGCCTTTTGCAACTGTAAGGTTGGTTTGTGAGGTCAGAATAATGGAGAGTTTTCAATCTTTTATTTATTATTTTTTTAAAAAAGATTCAGTTAGTTGTAACTCGAGGGAGTTGGAATTGAAGGCAATGTGGATATCCAGCTCTGATTAATGTCTAGGGTTTAATTCCTAAATGTATGTGAACTGTAAAAAATTGTCGCAGTTTGCAGCTTTATAGCTATAATACAAATCACTTTTAAGATAAAAGTCTGGTCTATCTTTGCTATGGTGGTCTTTTCAATGTCGGGAGAGGATAGATTGTAGTAGTACTTTCTCGATGATAGGCCGTAAAAAAGTATGCACAAATGAGGAGAATCTCGAGTTTGGGTTGCTCTGGAATTCCTTTCGCGAACATTCAACTGACACACCGTGAGGACGGAAGTCATGCCATACTCTGGTAGTGCTCAGGAATTGACGGTTCTGTGTGTGTTTGGATAGCTATTAATTATGTGAACAAAAATTATTTATTTGCATCACAAAATATCTTTCAATTTACATTTTTTATCTTTTCAACAAAATTTTGTCCTTTTTTTGGGCTGATGCCTTGTTTTTTTTTTTTTTTGTCATCACTGGGGTATCCGGACCTACACCCGACTAGTCCCACAGCGCCCCAGCAGAGCGGGCCCGACCGATGCTGAAGAATTTAACAGCTGGGTTGCTGCCTGGGATCGAACCCAGGTGGAACTCAGCTAAGGAGCCTCCTTCCACCAGCAGACCAACCCAGCTGATGCCTTGTTTGGATTGCGATTTTTTGTCGAAAAATTATGTCGTTTTCCGTGATCACATTTTCTTATTACCTTTTTCCCTCACATATATCAAATCGCTACAGTAATTTTTTCATGAAAAATTATGAAAAATGCAATCCAAACATAACAAGAAGGCCTAGTAAATTTTTCTAAATTGTCAATTCTGTCCTTAAATCACAATTGGACAAATTTTTTTCTTACGGGGAAAGGTTTACACAAAACGCGAACAAAATGTAACTTAGCTAACTCAGCGAAGAAACTATTATGGACCAAAGGGATAATTGTTAATTGGTCAAACTTCAAGGTTCATTTGGTAATATGGACAAGTCTCAAGGGAGGTAAATGTAATTACTCCTAAATTAAATGCTAACCGACCACCCTATGCTCTTTTTTTTTTTGTTTTGGTAGGCTGGCGGGAGGAGGGAGTTAGTAACCCTCCCATACTCTATAAACCAACAAAAACTTTTTTAAAAACTCATCACCTGGCCCAAGCCCAAGTGACCTACGACGCCGTTGGCGCGCTGAAACAAAAGGCCGCAGGGCAGAAAGCGAGGCAAAATTGCGGAGATTCTTCCTCGTCACCGGTCAGCATCTCTGGACAGCGGAAGATGGATTCAACCGAAACTCCCTTATCCACCTCCCCATCCCATTCCAATTTCAGGTACTTCAACGTTATTGTTTCTTATTTCCATTTTTGTCTTTCAAAGCATGCTAAAAATTTATTTTTAAAAAAAAGTGGTCTAAATTTTTTTTTTTTGTATGCTACCGCAGCCAACAGCGCCATTTCTATCTTGCCGTGGATAGGCTCCAATTCAAGATGGTTCCACACAATTCTGTCTACTTATTTCTACCAAAAGTACCAATTTAAGTTTACAAAAATAAACATACTATTGATGTTTTTTTTTTTGTGTGCGCGCGCGCGCGCGCGTATGCGTATAAAACAAGCAGGAAACCTTGGTGGATCTATTAGGCATGGCCGGACGGCAACCGTTGCTACGCATGGTGGTCTGCTGCAGCACTCGTGACGAGCTCGACGCCGTCTGCTCCGCCGTCTCCCGCCTCTCCTACATTTCTATGGCAACTCTGGTATTATATCATTATGCATCTTTTTACTTGTTAGCAGGATTTCAGAATCTTCAGTTGTTTATTTCCTTGTTTTGGGGAGATGAAGTGGTGTGAAGTTTTACCTTGAGCTTATGATGCAGTATAGTGACCAGGCGGAAGCTGAACGAGCGCGGATTTTGGAGAAGTTCAGGCAAACGGCAATTAATTGGAACAATTGCACTGCCGATGGCGAAGAAAAGAAAGATGACAAAGAAGAGCGGAACAAGTCTCATATGATTATTGTTACTGATGCTTGCCTGCCGTTGCTTGGCATGGGGGAGTCGCCTATCAGCTCTCGAGTTTTGATTAATTATGAACTGCCAACTAAAAAGGTCAATTCCATTTCCTAAACATATGTTTTATTTTATGATATATATTGAACCTAGTATGCTTGGCAATAACCAAGGAACTGTTGCTTGCCTCTGAACTTTATTCAGCTTACAGTTTCTAACTTGTAATCCACTCCTCTTAAATTATCTGTTTGCTGTAATCTAGTGGATAAACAGGCTTTCTCGAGTAAGTTGGAGAGTTGTCAGACTTAACCTTTGAATACCGGAGGATAAAAAGGCATTTTGTTCAGTTAGGAAAGGCGGGCAGGAAATTATGCTTAATTATGTTGTAGGGTTGAATTTGTAATAGTGACATTTGATGATTTATGTGTTTCTATGTCCAAGTTTGTTTGGTCACTCATCGTACAAGCAAAAGAAGTTATGCCCATGGAAAGATGTAGCAATTAGAATTGAAGGCACCGCAGCCCCTCCCACTAGTTGGATGTCATGTGCAAATTCAGGATTTAAATCTCAGTTTTACCTGTATCTGGACTCTACTTATTTGGTTAACAAGTTTCACCTATTTGCTTGGTATACTTCCAGTCTATTCCCTTTTAACTATTTGTCAGGATTACTCTTGAATTTCGACGAATTTTCCCACTTCATCTCTATACTAGTGCATCTATGACTTCCAATATGCATCACCTATGGGATTAACTTTACTGCTTGATGTTTACATGTAAACGTAGGTGTCTCCTCGGGATACTAATCAGTTATGGTGTCTCTTTTTAGATGTTCCAAGTTTGTGTACTTCTGAAGTTTTAACATGTTTTATGGTGTTTGGCTTTTGTATTTTGGTATAACTGAGACATTCTTCATATGCCGATTGATCAAGGAAAGTTTTATCCTATTTAGCTACTGCAATTTGTTGCAGTTGAGGCATTCTGTATAAGCCAAGGCCACAAGGTAAATAAGAGGTGATTAAGACATTCTTTAAATGTATTAATACAAAAAGTGTCTACTATATTTCACTTGAATGATTGAGATTATTTTCAGACAAAAGCAAAGCTACAAGAGTATTTCGCAGAATTAAATTTTACCTTGTTCCTCAACAACTGCGTGAACATTTTTTTGCTTGGGAATTACTTTCTTCCCCTATTCAGAATTTTGCTTCTATATTTTCACTTTGTTTGTCATGTTTCCATCTCAGTTGGAATTGTTTGGCTTCCGGAATATATATGCTCATACATGTATTTGTCCATGTCATTTTACTTCTATGTTGTTGCCTCCATAGCCATTTTATTTCTTACTATGGAAGGTAACTTTTTTTTTTTTCAATTCAGGAAACTTATTTGAGGCGTATGGCGACTTGTTTAGCCACAGGTTAACACCCCTACCAACCACATTTTTCCCCCTTTTGTGAGTACATCATGCATGGAAAGGAGAACGGGGTGCATTTAGTTGATCCAGTTCTTGCTTTCACAAATTAAATAAATTGCAAGCATGTTTTTGGCATCATGAAGAGAAAGGAAGGGAGGAAAAAAATGAAAGCAATGTTAAGAATGCCAAAGAAGGAACCAGCTTATTGCTTCCCTTTTTTCCTCATCTCTGTGCATGAATTAAACAACCATATGGAGCAAAAGTTTGTCTTGCTGTTGTTTAATGTTGTTCATAGTAGTATGTTGAGTTTTGACATTTTCTCTTAGTAAATATATGCAGATGGGATTGTCATTAATATGGTGGTTGGTGGTGAAGTTGCAACTCTCAAAAGCATTGAAGAGAGCAGTGGTCTGGTCATAGCTGAGATGCCCATACATGTGAGTTTCTGACCTGTTCTATGATGCTCAGATATGTTATTGGAGATTAGATTGATTATACATTTCATCCTACATGTAATGAAATATACTACACTACAAAAACCATATTGTTTTCATGGGTAATTGATTCTTGATTTTTTATTATCCTTTTCATTGCTGTCACCACTGTTTCTCAACTTCTTCAATATTAGAATTATTTGTGGTTTGAACAGATCTTTGAGATGATGTAAAGTTAGTGGGCTTGTGGAATGTCAAAAGCTGTAAACGTGGGTCATGCCATTGCAAATGAGGTATGTAATGTAATTAACAATATCTATTTGTTCTTCGAGAAACATGTCATTTTCTGTTGCTAAAATCCATAATTTCTGCATCAAGAATAGCCCATGTTTGAGCTTCGTGAAAACATCACCCATCTTGGAATGCCCCAGACTATAGTAGGACTTCAGACTTATGCTCTTCAAATGGATCAATGTGGCCTATAGTTTCTGTTACTTTGTTGTGAAGAATGTGGATGGTTAAACTTTTTTGCCAGTTTTGCCTCCCATGTTAGGGAGGAAAAAATGGGAGGCATAGATTTTGCAATTTTGTACCATTGGTTTGAATCAGGGTTGTTCATCGAATGCTTAATTCATTTCACTTCTTGAGGGGAGCAATTTTAGTGTAGCTCATAGTTTTTTACTCTTGAAATGAATCTGAGATAATTGTAATGGGATGGACCAAAAAGGTTGTACACAAACTTTTGCTTTTAACTGTATAAGAGATCATAGAGTTAATATCCATAACCTTTAATAGGAGGATTTTGAATTGACAAAGAGATGTTTACGGAAGCAAGAATCCAAGTTATGAATAAGGTGAAGGGATGTTTGTGAGTATTTCTGTTTCAGTACTGTTTTTCCACTTATACTCACAGAATTTTGGAACCTTATTTCTATTTAAAATTCTTGCTTGCACATCCAGCAACAATAGTTTAGTGATGCTTCACAAGTGTGGATGCAAGTTGTATGTAATGAATATAACTCTGTGCTTCTATGTGTTAAATTAACAGTTGATTCTTGATTAACCAGATCAGCTACCATTATTCGTACAGATAATTTTCTCAGGTCAGTCATGTTGGCTGGCGATAAATAGCTATGACATAGGCTTTGCAATGGGTATGGAGTATTCTTCTTACTGGAGTTAATTATGGTAAACCGTTAAGGTGAAATGGCATTGTAATGCAACTGATCCTTTGGCAACAAAAGATAAATTACCAAACATGTTCTTATTGGCCAAGAAAATGACTTGAAACATGGAAGTGATCATTGAAAACATTATCATTTTTAGACATATTAGGCTCCACATTCTTTTGCTGTCATGATACAGAATGAAGTTGGTTGGGACCATGTTCTTTACTAAGAATGCAGATTACTTGCACAATCCTCTAATAAACATCAGTAATTGGCCCACTTTAGGCTGAACTCAATTATAGTTCCATGTTCTGGAGCTGGATTTATGGGTCGGGCATGGTCCCCTCTTTGGGCTGTAGGTTTCTTTTGTGTTCTCTTTCTCGGGGCATAAAGGTGTTTGGTAGCATCAGATATATACATTTACTCGTATCCATAAAAAGTTTCCGTCCTTTTTTGTTTGCTATATTGAAGTGGAATTTTTGACATAAAGGTTAAAGAAATGCTTCGTTCAAGTTTCTGTCTTAGGAAGATGATAGGTGATTAAAGATCAGATCTTCTAAACCTTCCTTCTTCTTCTTCTTCCTTTTTTTTTTTTGTTGGGAGAACTGAATCCTATAAGAGGACAAGTTTATCTTCCATTGTCCTACAATGAATTATACCATTGTGGTGGCCTGTACTGGACAAATTCTAGCGATAAGAGGATTCCATCCTGGACTGGAAAAAGCAATAGAATCTCAAGATTTGACATTAGTAGTAAAGTGGATTGTTCTAGTCAAGTATTTTGTTTTTTGCCTCACCAGTTATCTTGGAGGTATATCATTACAATGAATGCTAAATTGAAATTAACAGTAACCGATAGACTGAAATTAGGCAGAACTGGTTATATTTAGTCATTGAATATTAAGCTGATAGTAGTCACTCATGGTGTAAATCACCATTAGAAGCTGCCTGATCAATTTGAGTGAGCACATGGCACAAGTAGTTGATATTGCCGCAATCACTTCCGGGTGAGCTATTTATTTTTGCAAATATTTTATGTGCTAGGCAGTTTTTCCAGCTGGCTGACTTTTTCTTTCTGAAATTGTCTGATCCATAATGGTGCAAATATGTACTTGCTATGTTTAGCTACAACACATTTGAGCTGAAGAAGATCTTTGCTGCTGTCAAAGCAGAAAAATAATTAGGTGAAAGCTTGCCCATGTTGGTGCTATTTAGTATGTTGATGTTAGATTTTCCTTTTCTCTTAGATAGAACTAGGGTGCGGGAAGATTCGAATATTTGGAACCTATGGTCTGTGGTATCCTTATCAACTCATTAGATGGCTGGATATCATCCTTAAAAATTCACCATACCATGATTGATCCCAGCAGTTTCTCTCTGTCTTGAATTAAAAGTAAAGTTGAAGTCGGTAGAGAACTAAAACTTCTGGAGATTGGCAGCGGGGGCTTTTCTTCATAACACTCGTATAAAAGATCAATAATTCCCATGGTATTGGATGATTGGAACCTTCCAGCCATAAGCCTTTTACTTTGTTGTGTTGATATATCCATCTTCCCATAGCATTAGCATTCAGCTCATGGTCCCAGCTCTCGCGACATGAATTGAATGTTGCAATCAATTTAGGCACCAAATCAATTCTTAGTGTCCATGATGAGAACAGTAAAGCTGACGTGAAAATTTTGCAGTATTGCTCGGCTATTTCCAGCAATAAGCATCTCTCCCTCTTCGAGATGGAGCAGTAGATACTCTTAGATGAACAACCTGTCAAACGGATGGGAAGAAAGGAGGCAGAAAGAGCGTAGACGAGAAATGGTCCCTGCCTTCTAGGATAGTAGGTGACCCGTATTCCATGATTCTCCTCGAAAGAATGTCCAAAGGACTTTGCAAATGTTATTGTCGTATTTTAGGGAATGCCATTTTGGAGGGCTTTTTTTTTTTTTTTTGGTCGACACGGGGGTGTCCGGGTCAATCCCATGGTTGTCAAAATCGCGATCCGGATCGTAGGTTCAAATCGATCCGGATCATATTCAGAGTCGCAAATCATATTAATCTATGTAGGATCGTAGCAGGATCCGTAGGATCGTACGATCCTACAATTGTTTGTAAATTTGTGAAATACGAAGCTCCATTTTGCAAGTAAATGAAAATATTTGTGGTATATTTTGTAATTTATCAAAGAATTGCAGCCTTTAATTGCAATTAGGAGCTTTTGGTAGGAGCTTTTAAAGACCAGCCACGTAGAATGGTAAGTTGTGGGAGGCAGGGGTTGAACCCCTGACCTCCAGCATCCCCAGAGAAGGGGATGACCACTGGACCAAATGGCCAGTGGCCCATTCTGGAGGATGATACATCACTTTTCAAGGACCTGGCTGACCTACTTTGGGGTGTCGGGAGTGAGACTGGACCCTGGACTCTATTGGTGTGGAGAGAGTAGTGTGGTGGAAGCCAGCAGATGTACCCTTTAATATCTGGATTTGTGACAACAAAGGAGGTTTGACATCAATCCAATATTTTAGAATCGTACGTAAATAATTGAGTATGAATGAGAAAAATGAAAAGAGGTTGGTTTTACAATAATGGTAACGAGGACTTAATGTATTTGTTGTCACTTTTTTTTTTTTTAAAAAAGGTATTTGTTTTCACATGAATATTTTGTGCCAATGTGAAAGCTTAACGTGTAATTAATAATTTTAGAGTATAATTTCATTGCAATATTGCACTGCTGGCATAAAATATATCAAAACACCAACACGCATATATAGATTTGAAAATTAATTGTGACAATAAATTTGAAAAATTAACAAACATAAGGATAAAATTGAAGCTTCAAAACTATCTTCTATTTGGATGAATCACTGAAACCCAATGGATCTGGGGGTCCCTTCTAACATAAAATTTGCTACAAAGAGAAATTTAAATATGCCATAATATATGTGAGAAATTCTAGATCTAAAAAAAAAATCAGATTTATGAAATTTCTCAAATCTTACGAGAGAATAATAAAAACTGAATCTCACAAGGAAATTGTAAGAAAGAATATTTAACTGAAAAGAATTGATGGATGGATCGAGTATTTGGGTACAATCAATTAAATTTCAACTAACTAAGCAAATATTACTGTGCAATCTCTCTCGTCAAATCAAATTTGTAATCTTTTCTCTCTATTTTAACAATCTTACTTCTAAGTTTTGAAACATTGAACGGTTTTTGGTGTTTTGTACCATAAAAGTAGAGGATAGGAATTGCCAATGGGATAAACTCGCTATAACATCCTAACATATTGCAAATTTAAGCTTTTGCGGTCAATATAATATTGGACAAACCCTTTATCCGTATTTTATTTCATTATAAATATTGGTTATCTTGCCCATCAACTTGTCTTAACGATTATAATTGGTTAGCAAAAAATTCAAACAACGACAAGAAATTGTTGAAATAAGAAAAATTAGTTTTCATATTTTCAAGAGAATTTTGTACTTGACAGTGGCATCAAATTTTGCATGATAGGTGTATTTTAGCCATTAAAAAGAGGAGAAGTTTGAGGAGAGAGAGAATCTTTTGTCGTAAATATTTGGATAAAGTTTTTATGTACATCTTTTGTGGCGAAAACAAAGTGATGCAGGAAACTTTGCTAGGTTGTCAGTTAATTCTGAATTCAGGTTTGTTGAGTGCGTTTAGGGTGAATCTATTTCTCCTTGTTTTGTTGAGCTCTATCTACTATCGTCCGTCCCAGTGCACGGATTTACTTAGCAAAGCAGACGAATAACCAAAAAAAAAAAAAAGTCTAGGGTTGGTAAACGACATAAAAGTAAAAACAAATTACTTCTTTTGAGAACTGACAAAAAAATGTTCGGACGATTTCAGTCTTTTTCAGAGAATCTCGGTTTTTTTTTGTATTATGCAACTCCATTGCGAGCTTTTACAGCAATTTAGGTCTCCTGTCTGGATGAACTGATGCAACTTTAAAGCTCAAACCTTTCCGTTCCGTTTGTCAGTCGAGCCTCCTCCTGTGGCCTTTGTTATTAATTTTTTTTTTTTTTTGGAGGAAATGCTAGGGCCTTTATCGACACAAAGCTGACAAGCAAATACTTTTCACGCTGCTTGGTTGTCTATTTTGCCTTAATTTCTTGTTTTGTCAATAATCGACGTAAAAATGGTACAGAAAAAAGAAATAAGAGAAAACCTATAAACGTTATTATGTTGTAGTCTTGTTGAATTTTGAGATGTGACACTATTCCCATTTATCCAAACTTTTTGTCTCCGTTTGGGGAAGTGTTTTAGGGAGGCTTTTTTAGACAAATTTTACCGTAGCAATGTTATTGGAAGAATTATGAAACAGAAAATGTTATAAGTTTTAGCTCCCCCTCCCCCTCCCCCTGCCCTTAAAAAACGGTTGTTTTTTTTCTTAGAAAAAAAACAATCCAAGCAAACGTAGAAAAGAATATATTGATAATAATAATCGTTCAAACCTTACTAATTTTATCCTCCAGACTCAAACTTTGTACATTATGGTACATTTCGTTCACAAAAAGTAAGGAATGAGAGTGGAAAAAGAGTAAACATACAATATCTGAGTACGACAGGGCTGCTATTTAGTTCATCACCACTAGAGTTGGCAAAAAAGTCTAAAATCGCCCAACCTGCCCATTAATTTTAAATGATGGGTTGGGTCAGTTGAGTTATGGATTTTGTTAGATTGCGTAAGAGCAACCCAACTTATTCATTGGACGAGTTGGGTTTTTTATTTGGACAGTCAATACCCAACTTGTTTAAAAGTAATTCAAAATAATAAATACAATATTCAATGCACATATATCCAACCACTTGCATTTGGACATGTGTTAAAATTCATTGACTAATTTGTATTTAAAATTCTCATATATATATATATATATATATATATATATATGTTTTCAATCAATTTTTTAAATTTTTATTTAAAAGAACAAAGAAACTTGAAATAAAAACTCATGCTTATTTTACTTTTACAACAGTAGTTTAACTTGCTCAACTTCTATAATAATTTATTATGCCTTTTAAGAGTGTGTTGTTTTCCTCCCCTTTTTTTTTTTTTTTTTTGTGGTTGTTCTCAAGTTGTTACTTGCTTTTGTTTGTTAATATTTCATGCACGTAGAATAGGGTTTTAAATTTGTTCTAATTGCATTCTTTTACTTTTCTCTAACTTGTTTTATTTCATTGTTAACAATTCCTCATCAATATTATAATACTACTTACATTTTCAAGCATAATATAATCTAGCATTCAATAATTTAAATACACAAAATATTACAACTTACAATAAAGCAGATATGAATAGTAAAAGTATTAATAAGTTGTGACAAAAATAAGTTTCAATCAATTAGTAGTATTAAAAAGTAAGTAAACAATTTTTTTAGCTAATCTATTTAAATGTACAATTTATTATCTAAAATTCACAATACAAGCAATATAAAATATTATTCTATTTATGATGTGTTTCCAAGGGATTTAAAAAGTGAGTGTGTGTTTATGTGTGTGAAAATATATTTATGTATGTGAAAATGTGTTTATATGTGTGAAAAAAAATATTTTTGTGTGTTAAAATGTATGTGAAAAAGTTTATGTATCAAAATGTATTAATTAATATGTTGGGTCATATTTGGATTATGGGTTTGAAATAACCCAACATGACCCGATCCACAATCAACCAAATCTAAAGTTGGATGAGTTAAATATAACCCATTTAGATGAAAACTCAATATTAATCCATCCAAGATTCGTTGAACCAGTCCAATTGCCAGGTATAATCATCCAATTGCCAGGTATAGTCCATCAGTCCATGGGTACCAAGGATGTATCTGTGTTGTAGTCAACAATTATTGCAAATCCTACCAACGTTAGGTGCGGCCCCCCGCCACGCCGGGTGTGTGTGTGTGTGTGGAGAAGACACTTTCTTTGTGGATCTGTCTGATGGAAGCGCATGGCACGTCCAATGCGGGGTGCTACTTCGTCTAAATCCGGCTCCTCAAATGAACTTGTGTCGTGAACACTAGAAAGACTTGGCAAAAGACAATTACTATTTGGACTTTGCTTGACTCATCTTTTTCTTCTAAGAAAAAGCTAAAAGCAGGGGAAAAGAGGGGAAAAAAAAAAGAGAACAAAAGAAAAGAAGAAAGAAAAGGAGAAGATGAAAACAAAGTAAGAAGCTGTTGTTAATGATGATGATGACACACAAAATCTTGCAAGGAGGTGATGACAGCTTCACAAGTATTGGTAATTGCATGCATGGCCACGGACTAACCAGGCAAAATGATGATGAATTTGGGAACTACTAGTATAAGTAACACTAGATGGGATATGCCTTCCACTCCCAGATAGGACAAGACTTCCATGGTCACCTTACACCTTCTCATCCCCACTCTCGTCTAATTTACTCGCACACCACCAAACTCCTTTAACAAACACACGCATTTTCACATACATATTGTCTTCTTGGGCACTGATGATATCTCTTTGATCATGATTCATGACTGTAGTAAGAAGATCGAAGGGAGGGAAATTAATTGATGTTGCCTTTATTCCTGTTTTTACTTTACTCTCCCCCTTCCAGGAGCGAGGTTTCCAAAAGACCCCTCTCCCCCTAGCTACATTTACAGCAATCTGATCTTTCATTATGGTCGTCCTTTTCTTCTTCTT